ACAGGTTACTGGATTAAATTTCCATGCGTTCTTCGTTGAGATGGATAATTAATTAAAAGTATTTTCAAAATAGGAATAGGCCAACGTTGTAGTAAAAAACAAAAGACCAATTCTTTTGACGGTATCCTGACTAAGGAAGCGTCGACTTTGTTCACAACAATTTGGCTCTCAGCTGAGATGACTGTTACACTGAAAAAAAGGGGGGAGGGGGCAATTAGGACGGAAAGAAGTGATTGTGTCTTGTCTTGTCTTGTAAAAACTGCCGTTTCCCCAAACTTTCAGTAAAAAAATCCCGTCTCTAAAGGAAACAGTTCGTTACTTGACAAACACGGCCCCCATAAACATTACCAAGAAATAACAACAATTTTAATACCTAATTCCATGCACTTCTTTTGACTTTTGACTTGATTAATTGCTTTTTTTTTTAAACTAAATAATTCTTCGTACGCAGAAAAACTTCAACCTATGCATTTTAACTCATTTGTCTGTTTGGAGATCTGGAGGTGACAAACACATGTTTTATTTTGAGTTTTATGTTAAGCATGAAATCATATTATCAGTATACATTAGTAAACTCAATGGGATGATAAACTTAAGCTCGAAATTGAAAGAACCTTGCCACCTTGCCCGAGCGCCGACAATTGATTCATAGAACTTTAGAGTGAACTTCAAAAATATGTGTAAACACGAACGTCTAAAAAGTTGTTTGGTCGGTCGTTTGTGATTGGTATCCAACCTGTTTTTTCAAAGTGTTGAAAGATGTAGCGAAATAATTGAAAACAAACATATAGGATCATTTTGGACTTTAACCTGCCATACCCCCCCCCCCCCCCCAACCTCCATGACAAAAAGGAAACAAATTGGGGGCCCCCGTGGAGGAGAGGTCACGTTGCTCACCAATCAGTCAATAGGTACCGGGTTTGATTCCAGACAGAGTTGGAACATTTCCTTCTCCAGATTTTTCTCGTTTCACCTCCTTCCCTGCTCTCTGACAATGTTCTTTCGTCTGATTTTGTCTCCACTCTCTGCACCCACTCCTTTGCACCCTCCTCTTGGCCCCTGGCCCTGACTCTTTCTTTAGCCTTTCTACCTCTACTTCTTGGCTCCTTCTTATTGTTGTCTTTGAGCCACACCCCTGATCTTATTATAGGTAAGATCTATCATCTATCTTTCTCGGATAAGGGCAAATAATTTCGGAAGCCCTCTAAGCATGTTGCACACGTTAAAAATCCCTTGTTAGTCCATCATAAATAAGAGTAGGCTTCGGCCGCCACCCGTGCAAAAGTCAAAAGTTCCTACGAACTGAAAATGTTTAATATATCCCGCACCCTCATATTACCTTATGCAATTGCGAGAGTCGATAAACACCCACCATAAAAAAACTAAACAAAACAAAGCTTCCAACCCATCACCCTATTCCTACGCTCAGGAAAACAAAGAACACCCCCTTAAAAAAGTAGGGTGAATTTGATAATTTACTTAGAAGAAAACAACAAACAAAGAGAAACAAACAAACAAAATAAAAAATTAATATTTTTCATAACTTAAGTCCCCAGTTATTGAAGAGGCTCCCTGTCTGAACACCCAGTCCAAGCTGCTCAACGTGAGTGTGGACATAATCACTGGACAGACTGGCGATCACAAACAGGATAGGTTGTTAAATGTGAGTGTGGACAACATCACTGGACAGACTGGCGATCAGGGTGACGGTCTGAAGGAGCAAGTAGGTCGGGTGGCCAGCTGGGCCGTACACGTGGACAAACTACTTCAGGACCCAGTCGGCGTTGAAGTCTTTTCGGTAGGTTCATCATTAACTATATCATGTTTACTTATAGTTTGTCTTTTTTTTTTTTTATCCAGAGTTGGACATCCACCCACGCCCCTAAAATGTATTTAAAAATCATTCAAAAAGAATTAGATCAATACATAGATATATGTAACATCGACAAACAAAAACAAAAAAACCAAATACACAAACAAATAAACTAGCCGGTGAAGAAACTACCTAAGGTTAATACCTTACGCCGTTAGGTTTTTGTTTTGTTTTGTATGGGTTTTTTAAAACTTAAATACTCTTTTATGCACTTTGGTAGAAACATGATCTCTCTATATTTTGCTCCTGAATTTACAAGTTATATAGAGTTTTCCCTCGACTCGTATTATTAACTTTATTACTCTCATCTACATCGATGTTATTTTTCTATTTAGGAATTTTTGAGGAAAGAGTTCAGCGAAGAGAACATCTTGTTTTGGAAGGCGTGTGAGCAGTACCGTCAACTGACAGATGACTCTGAAGTAAGTTTGGAATATTTTTATAGTCGAATTGTGTTGTTTAACTGAATGTTTTTAAGATGTACAGTATTGTTACTAAGACACAGGCTCTAAAAATATTAGTATAGCTTTTTTAGAGGCAAATGAAAAGGAAAAAAATACAAAACCAACAACTGTATTTAGTAGCAGTACTTTATAAGGTAATAGTTGCTGTTGAAGTTTCTCTCTTGAGACAAAATACGAGTCACTTCCAACTTGGAACTTTTAGATCTCCACCGGAAATACTTATCATAGGAAATGTAACAATAAGATTAAACGAATACACCGGTCTCAATTCGAATCCAAATTTTGAAAGTCAATGAGGCAGATCAATTTATTTTCTTTTTTTTTATATTGGATATTTTATTTTACGCCCCCCCCCCCCCCCCGCCCCCATTTATTTCAGGCAGCAGGCTTTGACCCTGGGTCAACCAGGCCTGAGAAGGGTGCAATGCCCCAGAAGAAAGCCTGAAATACTCCATAAGAATTTAATCAACATGACAATGAGAATCAAATTCGAGTCTGCAGCGTGCTGCGGCGGGGTGCTTAATTAACTGTAGCACCACATCGCTATGAAAGTTGTAACTACGTATTGCACAATCTAATGGTAATAATATCACCATGAACCTTATATGATTATCTTTTAAGGCATTGTATTCATGAGTATTGTTTGTTGTTTCTCATTATAGCGCAACAATCAGGCCTGTGTCATCTATGGCCGCTTTTTGTCCCCCACGGCAGATGATCCTGTGAATGTGGATGATGTAGCCCGTTCTCATACGCGGATGTTTCTGGACAATCCCACAGTCGACATGTTTGATGTGGCTCAGAAGCAGGTATGTATCTTGACACTTAGTGTGGTTGTCAGCAAGATTTGATTTGGAGCATAAGTAGTGAAATAAATTTACTGCTCGTACGATGCCATGGTAATGTGACCATTTTCAAGTTTTCATCTCAATAATATTCATATTTGCAAATTAATGTTAATAAGTATAATAATTATAAGTCAGGGCGAAGATGTTAAAAGTAAGTTTTTTGTGGGTTATTTTTTGAGGAAGCGTGGATGGGGGCGAAAATCTTTTAATTCAGTATTAGTCTGGCATCTTTTGCTTGCTTCTCATGTTGTTGACGGGTGTTTTGATGCAGCATGCCTCTTCTTCGTATTATTGTTCTCAGATATTCAACTGACAAATGGCAGTTATCGTGCAGACTTACCGTTTACTATAACTCTATAAACGATAGATTTGGTAAATGCTCAGATCAAGAATTAAGTCATATTCTGTTCCCATTTGTTTTCATATCAAAATCAATGAATGTGCTACTTCACAGATCCACCAACTGATGCGTCGTGACAGTTATGTGAGATTCGTCAAGTCTGATTTGTACAAGAACAAGTTAATGGAGGAAATGGAGGATAAACCTGGACAGACTGGCGATCAGGGTGACGGTCTGAAGGAGCCAGTAGGTCGGGTGGCCAGCTGGGCCGTACACGTGGACAAACTACTTCAGGACCCAGTCGGTGTTGAAGTCTTTTCGGTAGGCTCCTTATATCCCTTTATGATGTTTACTTTTATTTTATCCTTTTTCAAAATCCACACCCCAATCACTTTAAAGAAAGAATAAAAAATACGTGCAAAAAATGTTTTTAATGAATGAATGAATGAATGAATGAATGAATGAATGAATGAATGAATGAATGAATGAATGAATGAATGAATGAATGAACAAACAAACAAACAAGCATACAAGAAAACTAATGAGCAAACGAACAATCGGACTAACTAACAACAATATTGAACAAATGTATATACTGACAAATTTGGAAACTACTACTATATTCTTATGAGTCTAGATGTCTTACTCAATTATTCTTCTTTTTTGAAACTTTAATTCTCTTTTACAGACTTTGGTAGAAAGATTTCCTTTCTATATTTTTCTCCGAAATATTTATGTTAAGTTGGAGTTTTTCTCTACTCGTATTATTAACTTTATTACTATCATGATCTTCGATATTACTTTTATCTTTAGGAATTCTTGAAGAAAGAGTTTAGCGAAGAGAACATCTTGTTTTGGAAGGCGTGTGAGCAGTACCGTCAACTGACAGATGACTCTGAGGTAAGTTTAGAATAATATTTTGATAGACGAATTTTGTTCTTTAACTGGAGGTTTTTAAGATGTACCGTATTGCTACCAACTACCAAGATGTTGGCTCTTAAAAGTACAAATAGACACTGTGGCATCAGTGTTAGCTGATAGAATCATCTTGTCTGTAACTTGCAACATTTATTTTTTCAAATCGATGCTCTGAAATAGTAACAAAGTCTGTAGTACAATTTTGAACTATACTGACACTTTTCACTTTTATTTATTTTTCTGGTGGATGGTCTGCTATTTAAAGGTGAATGAAAATGAAATAAAAGAGAACAACTGTACTTAGCAACAATAGTTGATTATGTAATAGTAGCTGTTGAAGTTTTATGTTCCTTTAGACAAAAATACAAGTCACTTCGAAGATGGAGCTTTTGGACCTTCACAGTCACAGAGGAATTCATTATCAGAGGAAATATTCCCACAAGATAAAACAAGTGCATATACCTTGGTCTCTGTTCGAATCCGAATTTTGAAGGTCCATAAGGGAGATCAATTTTTTTTTAACATTAGACAAGTTAATTTAGGCCCCCATCGACATTTGTCAACACTAACCAGAATTGAGAGGGATGCAATACCCCAGAACAAAGTCTGAGAGAATCGAATTCAAGTCTAAAGCGTGATACGGCGGGTTGCTTAACGGCTGCATTACAGACATCGCTATCAATCAATGTCGTAATGTTTTGCACTATATAATGATAATAACATCACCATGATCCTAATATTATTATTTTCTTTTATTTAATGAGTATTTTGTTTCTCATTATAGCGCAACGCTCAAGCCGGAGTCATCTATGGCCGCTTTTTGTCCCCCACTTCAGATGATCCCGTGAATGTGGATGGTGCAGCCCGCTCTCACACGCGGACGTTTCTGGACAATCCCACAGTCGATATGTTTGATGTGGCTCAGAAACAGGTATGTATCTTGACACTTAGTGTGGTTGTCCATGAGAGTTGATCTTGTGACATTAGTTGAAATTATTTATACTTATTGCAAGTATCATCTTATGGTAATATGACTACAAATTTACTTTCAAGTTATTCCAATTACAAAATAGATATATTATTATGTTAGCAGGACAGCATTTCCTAATGAGGAAATATTATTTGTAACTTGAAAGTATACGTATTTTTTAAGAGAAAGGTTTTTAATTTTTTAATTTTTTGGGGGGAGGGGAGGGGGTGCAACATATTTTAAATCAATATTGGTATAGCATCTCTAACTTTCTTTCTATGTGGTTGATGGATACTTTGATGTGGCCTGCTTCTTCTTTGTGTTATTGTTCTCCAATTTCCCAACACAAAATAGCAGACTAACCGTTTACCACAACTCAGCAAAATTAAATGCCAGTTTTTGGAACATGCATAAATAAAGGAGTTGTCTTTTGTTCTTTTTTGTCTTTATATCATAACCAAGGTATGTTTTATTTTTCAGATATATCAACTGATGCGTCGTGACAGTTATGTGAGATTCGTCAAGTCTGATTTATACAAGAACAAGTTAATGGAGGAAATGGAGGGTAAACCTCTGCAGGGACAGATGCAAGACAAACTACCAGAAGGAAAAAGAGAAGAGAAAAGAGTGAGTATATATTTGAAGTTATCAGCCAGGGTTGCATTTTTGTACCAGCATTATTTGTTCATTGATTTTGGTGATGGTATTTTCTGCTTACTGGTATTTAAAAACTAGTTGGTTTTTGGTTTAGCAGAAAGTCATTGCAGTTTTGAAGGGATAATCGTAATACTACGTTATATATTTTTTTTGCTCTTTTGTCCTTGTCTTTCTGAATTAATCTCCATTTTATGAAGTGCATAGCCCAGACCTGTCTGAATGCAGGGAGCGTATCACATACTGCTGGTCTTGTTGTTCGCTCGTGCAACTGTCAGCTGGGCTCACAAGCTCTTTGGTTAATCTGAAACTATAATCTGGTCTGTACTAAGGGCAATTTTTTCTCTCGGTCTGAATCCTCGTATATTTTATGGGTTATCAAATGAGTTTTTAAGGTAAGAGCTATTTGTTCGGATACCTGTTCGCGAAGTTCATAAGCCTTATAATTTGCTTTAGTTTAATTCAGAAACGCCAGGGTATTCTGTACTATGAACTATTTTTTAAAAATCTCTCCCTAAACTTTCATGAATTTCATAGTTTATCAAATGAGTCTTTTTCTGTTGTTTTTGTTGTGTATTTCACATCACCATTGTTAATATGACAATTTTATTATTTCTCAGGGTCGCAAATATGGAGCTTCTTCGGGTATATTGACACTTCTGAAAAGATTCGGACTAAAGGATGCACGGAAGAGAAGCAAGAAGAAGGGTGGCGTTCAGCCATGATGGGTGCCTGACTACTTCGGTGTCATCTCTGCAGACTGTACACGCTGGTTAGCGCTTGACCTCACCCAGTTGACAAAAAGGAGAAATTCCCCCTCCCCCCCTTCCTCCCCCAGCCTCTCCTCCCCGTTCTCAGTACACCAGCAATGGGGGAGTGGAAGAGTTTAATGAGTCAGACTTGTCTCTTTAAGAGGCTCAGAGTGACTACAGAGCTTTTCAGCATGTCTTTGCTGTATAGGGAATTGGATCAGCTATTACAACAGCCCCAAGGTTTAAACAGAGGTCCCAGAAGCAGGCATTGATATACTTTCCGAAAAGTTTCAGGAACTCCTCCCTCTTCCCCTGTCGTCCCCCCCCCTCCCCGCTCCCCTGCCCTCCTGCCCCTCCCCCAAGCCCTTCAATCTCCGTACCAGGAGATGATCCTACAGTGAGGGCAACGCTGTCCCTTTGTTAGAAGGTGCGTCCCATCGCCACCATTTGGACTTGTCTCCTGCATTCTCATGTGCCTTTTGGTGTAGTACGTCATCATCTTTAATCTCACATAGAATTGAGATTGTTCAGGGAGAGTTTGACCTCTCTGAGTACACTGCGGGAACACAACGTGCTGCTTCAGCAAGTCCGATAACTGGCTCTCATCGTGTGCTCACCCTGAGACTCTATCAGCCACTGGGAATCTTTTGACAAAGTCTTTAACTGCTACCAGGACTTCGGAGTAGAGGTATATCCCCGCTTGTTCACAACTACAAGCCTCCTATAACGGCGATCGTGCTCATGCCAGAAATAAAATTGCTTAGGAAGCTATGATTTTGAATAAGGCAGCTGCAAACGCAAAACATCACATAAACTAGCAGCTCACCAAGAGAGAAGAATGTAAGAAAGCTTTTGTTTTCTGACCAATTGCTCTTTGAGAATTTACATAAAATATGTCGCCATTATGTTTGTATTCAAAAGTGTATTATTGTTCTCACAGGAAAAACGAGACCATTGTTTATCGTGACGTATGTGTAGCGTACGTCATAATTTCAAGACAATGCTTGTCAACCTTTGCCATCCCATTTGTGTCATCTTGACGGGGTTAACATTTTATACTGCTCTCCTACGTGAAGTTGTACATAATAGTGTTATATCTAAGCGGGCACTAGGTAATAGTTGTCACTATCTGGGTGATCCTCACCAACCACCAAACTATTACCAAACCGCCTAGGTTGGAAAGCGCTGTTCTAAGGAGACAAATCCATTTGTGGAATTAAAACCGAGATTCTTTCGCCTGTTTAGAGTACTGAATGGTGTCGTAATTCTTATGTCATAACAAGCCACAGAAGCCTTTGTAAGAATAACATGGCACATGTTAATTCCATGAGTTGCCAAACAAAACTTGTGTGACTACAATCATTTCATTTGCATGTATAAATAAAAGATGAACTACAGCTGAAAATGATATTGTTTTCCTCATTGAATTCATTGTTTTCGTGTATTATATTAGTAACTCGGTCAAACGCCTTCTTTCTTTTCGTAATTCTCTCATTATCTCCCCTGTTCCTCCAATCTCATGTCCTTCCTCCTTCGTTTAGAACCAAGCCGAAGAAAAATATGTACATTGTGCATGTTATTGTAAGTGTATGAATGGGCAAAACAGCATAACTATTGAAAGAGCACAATGTGGCATCTGGTGGGAAACATTTTGTTTGATATAACCTGATCCAACACGGATACTTCCTTTTCCGCTGGTTAGTACAATTTTAAGTAACAAAGAAAAATAATAAATGAAGGTGTTATGTCCCAATCGACACAATTCAAATCATTTAGGAGGCAGCCTTCAATCCTGTCTGATAGGATCAACCCTGGCTGAGAGGAATGCACGGTATCAGCAGAAAGACCGAGGTACAATGTACTCGATAGAAATTTTCCCTACACAGGAATCAAACTAAGGTTTTCTGTGTTCGACGGCAAAGTGCTTATCTGATATGCCAAAAACGCTGGTATCAATAGGTAGACACTTTTATGATATCTTAGCATGAACAGCTCTAAGTAAAGAGTATGTTTTTTGAGTTGCCGTTTTCTGGATTCAGAGCTCAAAGAAACCGACAGCTGGGTCAGAAAATAATTGTGGGGTAAACAGGTCTTTTTATTTACCTGTAGTACCGCATTTTGATTTTCAGGTGTTAGTCCAATACTATAGAGTTTGCCTCAGTTCAGCATCACTGGACAATTATATTTACCCATCTTTGTAGCGGGCCCCGGCTTGTCACTTTAACTTGGAATAGGGTGGCACAAAAAATGCTAGGGTAGTGCGCCAGGGAGGGGGTGGGGGGAGAAAAACTTCTGATTTTGAAATCCACTCAATTGTGTTATCTGGGTAATTGGATTCTTGAAACCTTTTCACCCTCTCCCCCCTCCCCCCCTCCTTTTACCACACAAACCACCCCATCCTTAAACATTTAAATGATGTAAGAAGACATAAGTACAGTACTTTTATATTATGTCTAATCTACTTTAACTTCTGATTTTGATTTGGGACACGCAGATTGGCCTCAACAATGGTTTTAGATGAAAAACGAACACAACAAAACAAAACAACATAAAACAAAACACGAAAACAAAAATACCCCAAAACAAACAAACAAACAAACAAACAAACAAACAAACAAACAAACACACAGACTAAAAAACAGGCTAATAAACAAATGAACAAACAGACTAACAAACAGACTAACAAACAAACCAACAAACCAACAAACAAAATTTTTTTAAACAATAAAAAACACACAAACAAAAAACACACAAACCAACAAACAAAATTTTTTTAAACAATAAAAAACACACAAACAAAAAACACACAAACAAACAAACAAACAGACTGACAAGCAAGCTAACAAACTGACTAACAATTAAACAAACAAACCAACCAACAAACCAACAAACCAACAAACCAACAAACCAACTAACTAACTAACTAACTAACTAACTAACTAACTAACTAACTAACTAACTAACTTACTAACTAACTAACTAACTTACTTACTAACTAACTAACTAAAAATAAACAAACAAACAAACAAACAATCAAACGAACAACCCCTTCCACGAGAAAAAGGAAGACCAAAAAAAGAATTGAACCCATTTCTTCCAGTTTTTATAAGCTGACCTTGCTTCAAGTGGCTGTTTTTTAGCAACAGATAGTTTTAATAAACATTAAGAATTTAGAGATTTTGAAACAAATACCTTATAGCACCCTGTTAGCTCAGTAATTTAATGTATAATGCTTAATTATTATGACACTGATTCGAATTTCCAACAGGGAGTTCAGAACGTTGGTTGTTTTCGGGAAGTTTTAATGCTCTCCAACCATTTGGCTCGGTCTTATTGGAGATCGACGTTTAAATCGGAGGCCCAGCTTTTTTAAATAACCTTGCAGTTATGAAAGAGGCTTTACAGTTTTACATTTTGTTTCCCAATGTTTCGGTTCGGTATTCAATAACATCAATGCTGCCCTGTGGGAGTTCGACTTAGAGCTTGAGTCTCTCTTGTTCCATTGGTTGGTCCTCGCTGTCATGAGACGAGTGACAGTTTTGACTGAATGCTCAATATATGTATTTTGTTTTGTGCCTTTATTTTGAATACATTAATATATGGACTCTTTTCCCCCTTGACAGACGGTCGTAAGCTGGTTGTAGATGGTTTCTCAGCCACAAATCTCTCGAAAGCAGCACAATGTGTCTTATTTCCAGTGCTAAAGCAAGTCACGTGTTTATGTTTACCCGATGGTCTCAGTGCAGTATATGAAAACACTCGTGGACTGTTTTGGAAAATATTATGTCGTCTCTTATGTCCTTGGTTTTGCGAGACTTTGTTCGAGTTGATGCAGCTGCTCTTTCTTTCCTATCAAATATCTATCCTCCTTATCTCTTCTCATTTTCTTTTTTTTTTTTTTATTAAACTCTCTAGTGCATGTCATATCTTTTATCCCCGGCACTTATATGACTTATTTGTGTTGTAAGTGCCGTCAAACTCTTACTAATACAATAAAACAAAGCTGATGTAAAGTCAGGTTAAAGCAACCATTATCGTTATACATATTGACCAACCAAACTGACGCAATTGGAAGAGACGCAAGCTTGTGTTGAACACCGAGAAAGCAGGGCTGAGTTGTTGAGTACCTTCAAACAACAAAACCTCCCCTTGGGCTGACACAAAGCCATGAACAATCATGGAGTATTTAGTTAGTACACCAAGGACACTGAGACCAGTCAAGCCTTGAAAAAGGGCGGGGCTATTAGCACACACACTGAGAAAGGAGAACATAAGAGAGGTGGACGGTGTTTCTCAATGATGCAAAGTCAACAAAATATGAAATGTCTTAACATAACAAAATATTGATTCTTCTAATAGAAAAAAACAATCAACAACTAGAGGTACGTTTTGTGACAGTTTGAGACAGCCTATGAGAAGATGACGAACAGATTTGAGGCCAAATTGTTAGCCATAACTGATACGAAAGAATTTGTTCAGCTTCGGTGCTTTAACATACCCCATCTCTCCGCCCCACACTGGAAAAACAAAACAACACAAATAACAGCAACAACAACAACAACAACAACAACAACATCAACAACAACATAAACAACAACAATAACAACAACAACAACAACAACACTGACACAAACAAACAAACACACAAACACACACACACACACACACACACACACACACACACACACACACACACACATAATATATATATATATATACATGCGCTTGCACACATAAACGCACACTTTGTCATCAAGTGACCTCATCGGATTCAAATAAATGACGTGAACAGTGCTTCAATATTAATTAAGTAAAACAAAAAACATAATATAGATAACCTAACTCCAGATTCTGATCAAGAGCGCATTGACCTGGTGAAAGGTTTGGGATTTTTAAAAAGTAAAAATATAAACAAACAAAAAGACTAAACAAAAAAAACCCAACTAAACAAACAAACCACCCAAAAAACTTACTCACGCAGAAACAAACAACAAAAGCCTAACAAAAATAAACAAACAAACCGAAAATCATAAAGAGAATTCAATCTATTTCTTCCTGTTTCGATTAT